CATGCATCTCATTGTCAGGGCCATTGCGCCCAAAGTTGTTGACTTTCATTCACTTTGAAGATCAGGAGGAACTGAAGAAAACCCCAACAATAACAGTTCCTTGATGTCGATGGAAGGTCGTTGGAAAAGCAATTAATTATTGAAATCGCCACCTGAGCTAACTGTTGATTAGCGGAGTCGTTGTTCCAGCAAGTGGTTTTTTCTGTCTGCTGACGGTCATTCTGGGCGTCTTGTGACCGCTAAGGTCACCATTGCCCAATGAGGATTTCACCTGAAAGCTAATCAACTTATTGGTGCAAGCTGCAAACCGCAGGTCTTGATTGGAAGGTTGCCAGAGGCATTGTTAAGAGCATTTTCCGATATTCAACTAGGAAACGGGGTCGATCGTTAAAGTATCTTTTACTGCTGTTTCTTCGTGGTAAATTTAAAATGACGTTTTTATTTCCTACGGGATCTCTGGTGTTTGTGAGGCTGGCAAGAATTCGACGCCAAAGAGAGCTACAAAGGTGTACAAAGTTTCAACGAACTATCAGCAGTATCGCAATTTGACCTTTTCTAATGGCATTCCCAGAAGATGTTAAGTTTAATTTTCTTATAAAATTTGTCGATTTTATGCGCTTGTTAATGAACTATTAGTCGGCCCATTCGGTGCTCTTCCACTGGCAATCCCAGAGGATGTTAAGGGATGTCAAGATTTCTTCATGGCTTCGACGTTTTCAAGCAGATTTTCAAAGTTAAAAAGTAATTTTAAAGGACATTTTACGCTCTTTTGAATGCAGTTATCACTGCAACAATCTATGGACCTCTTGCGCCATTCCCAGAAGATCCAAACTTCATTTTTACATAAAATCTGCAAATCTCAGCCGATTTTTTAAGTCTGTAACTCATTTTTTCGCGAATTTTATGTTTTTTTCAACGAGCTGTCACTTGGCGCGATTGAATTTTTTCTTCTGGCACGCCCAGAAGATGTTAAGTGTAAATTTCCTCATTAAATCTGCATTTCTCCGTCGATTTCCAAAGTCGATGGCTCATTTTAATGAACTATTCGTCGGGCCAGTCAGTGCTCTTCCACTGGCATTGCCAGAGGATGTTAAGGGACGTCAAGTTTTCTTCATAGCTTCGACGTTTTCCAGCAGATTTTCAAAGTGAAAAAGTAGTTTTAGGAACATTTTACGCTCTTTTGAATGCAGTTATCACTGCAACAATCTATGGACCTCTTGCGCCATTCCCAGAAAATCCAAACTTCATTTTTACATAAAATCTGCAAATCTCAGCCGATTTGTTAAGTCTGGAACTCATTTTTTAGCGAATTTCATGCTTTTTTCAACGAGCTGTCACTTGGCGCGATTGGATTTTTTTCTTCTGGCATTCCCAGAAGATGTTAAGTGAAGATCGTTCTAAATTTCCTCATAAAGTCTGCATTTCTCCGTCGATTTTCGAAGTCGATTACTAATTTTTTAGGAAAATTCTGTGCTCTTTTTTATGAAATCATCGGCCCAATCAGTGCTCTTCCACTGGGATTCCCAGAGGATGTTAAGGGACGTCAAGTTTTCTTGATGGCTTCGACGTTTTCCAGCAGATTTTCAAAGTTAAAAAGTAGTTTTAAAGGACATTTTACGCTCTTTTGAATGCAGTTATCACTGCAACAATCCATGGACCTCTTGCGCCATTCACAGAAGATCCAAACTTCATTTTTACATCAAATCTGCAGTTCTCAGCCGATTTGTTAAGTCTGTAACTAATTTTTTCGCGAATTTCATGCTTTTTTCAACGAGCTGTCACTTGGCGCGATTGCATTTTTTCTTCTGGCATTCCCAGAAGATGTTAAGTGAAGATCATTCTAAATTTCCTCATAAAGTCTGCATTTCTCCGTCGATTTCCAAAGGCGATTGCTCATTTTTTAGGAAATGTTATGCTCTTGTTAATGAACTATTCGTGGGCCCAATCAGTGCTCTTCCACTGGCATTCCCAGAAGATGTTAACTGACGTCAAGTTTTCTTCATTACTTCGACATGTTTCTACAGATTTTCAAAGATAAAACGTAGGTTTAACTGGAATTTTAAGCTCTTTTGAATGAATTGATAACTAAAACAATCGATGGACCTCTTCCGCCATTCCCAGAAGAATTTAACTGATCCAAACTTCATTTTTACAGAAAATCTGCAATTCTCGGGCAATTGCTAAAGTTGAAAACAAATTTTAAAGGAAATTTCTTATTTTCTTATGAGTTATTAGTCGGAGCAATCGAAGTTTTTTACTAGCATTCTCAGACGATGTTAAGAGACGTCAAGTTCTCTTCATTACTTCGACATTTTCCAACAGATTTTCAATGTTATTACGCTTTTTCAATTTTTTACGCTCTATTGAATGCAATCATCACTGCAAGGCCTTATAAACATCTTGCGCCGATCCCAAACGATTTGTGATCCAAACTTCAAGTAGATCATTAATTATTTAGTAAATTTTGTGCCCTTTTCAACGAACTATCAGCTAACGCAATTTGAGCTCTTCTAAAGGCATTTCCAGAAAATGTTAAGATTAATTTCCTTACAAAATTTGCAGTTTCCAGTCGATTTCTAAAGTGGATCGCTTATTTTCTAGGCGATTTTATACTCTTTTTAATGAACTATTAGTCGGCCCAATCGGTGCTCTTCCTCTGGCTTTCCCAGAGGATGTTAAGTGACGTCAAGTTCTCTTCAAAACTTCAACATTTTTCAACAGATTTTCAAAGTTAGAACGTACCTAGTTTTAATGGACATTTTTCGTTTCGCTCTTTTGACTCTTTATCATCAACTCAGACATCGGGGGGCCCAGGTATATAAAACAGCTGGTACCCAAAGCATGTGCGATCTCCGAAAGAGGAATTTACGTCATGATCAAACCCCTTAATCAGCTTCCATTAGTTTATGATGTTTAACGAGATTGAAAGCCTTTGGAAAGTCTTAAAACCAACTTGAATATGACCAGAAGGTTGGTCTAAAAAACTTCAACATATGATTCATCAGGCTAATGATCTTGTGTTCTTCACATTTCCTATGAGTGAGTTTTTCCCTTTTGGTAGTGGTATAAACAGCGATGTCAGCCAGTCATCTTCTTCTCTACTACTTCGATATGTTTCACAGCTTGTCTGTTTTTTAGCTGTTTGGTTCCTTTGATAATTTCATCCTTTGTAATATAAGATCCAGTCGATGTCTTCTGCACACCAATATTCTGTCTATCCTGGTTTTAAAACTTTTATTTTACGTGATCTCTCCCTCTGTCCATTTGATCTTCTATGCTCAGCAATTTGATATTTTCATTTTCCAGCTGTTTCCTCTCTTGCGTATGTAAAAATTCATTCGTTTAGCCAGGTTTTCTTGGCCCGTTTGACCTTCATTCTGATGTTCTTGTGAAGTTGTTTTTATGTTGCTCCGTTTTTATTTCCGTGTTGTCTTCTCCTTCCATCATGTTCAAAATCTTCTCAGTCGTCCATGGTTGGTTCCTCTTTTGTGCCGCTTGCTTAAGATCATTTTCTGTCACTCGTTTTAATGCTCTTTCAATATTTTGCCAGTCTTACTCACATTAAGACATTATAGACTTTAAGAGTTTTTCACTCAAAACGCTTATGCATTTCTTCCGTTATTTTACGATTATTTTAGCGAATTTCTCGTTAGGTTTATATGGGTTAGTAACTATTAATTTCTTACTTCAACCCAAAGTTGCAATTTTTAACTGCAGTTAAATAGACATACATTTACATACAAATTAGACTACACAAAGACATACAGGATGTCCCAAAGTTGTTGTGTTCATCGGTAATAAATTGCCTAATTTAATTGGAACACCCTATAGTTTATGGCAGGAACAGACGGGAAATTTAGTTTCCTATAAAATATGTATCGTACGTAGTCTTGCAGCGCTAAATTTCCCAAAACTGGCTCACAATTGATTTTAGAGTTTCCAGAAATCTTAGGAAGTTAGGGATTCAGCGTATCGTGGTCTGGGTCCATTTTGTGGCAGACGCAAAAGACCTTAAAGCTGAACGTTTCTTGAAATCCCGATTACTTCACAACATGTAGATTTTGATCAGCCTCCAGAATGGTTTTTATGACGAATTTAACTTCATCCGACCAATTATTTTCTTTAAAAAGTTAGGCTCTTTTTGGATCGAGATCAAACTTCTCTCACATAATGTACTCGAGGTTGATAATTTTGCTGGTTTTAAGCTTGAACTTCAGTGTCTTTACTTGGGCGCATGCTACGATTAGCAAGAAGTCTTTGAACAACGAGACGATTTATGCCTAAATCATTTTCTGCACTTTTAGTAGAAGCTTGAAGAAAAGCATTAAAATAGGATCAGATTTATCACGTTGAAACTGGTGAGTCTGTCGGCGAAATTTCTGTCTGACGTTTCGCATGCACGAGTGGCTTGCATCTTCGGAGGTGGTCTAGCAGGATTTTTGAAGTAACTCGAACGAAAAAAAATCCTCAATTCGTTGTGCAGCAGGAGAAACAGACAGAAGGAAGCAACAATATCCATCAATATAAGAGAGGAGAGAGCACGAAATGAAAGGAAATAGACACAGCTGGAAGGAACGAGAGCAATAAGGAAAGCGGAAGGATTATGCAAAATTGCTACAACTGGTCAAGCAGTAACGGCCCTAAAAATCTGATGAAGAAAAGAAAAACAGCCAAGAAACGCCACGCGGCTTAAGCATACATCAACAGAGAAATTAAGGATGTGAGGCTGCACAACGTTTAAGAAACAATGAAGGGAATGGAGAAGGTCAGCGAAATGGAAGTACAGGAATAAAATAAACAACTATGCGAGATTGTCGACAAGAAAACAGAACAAACTGCCACCAATGAACAAGAAATCGGGAAAATTGTGAGGCAATTTAATGGGAATCTAATCAAGAAAACCACAGGAACAGAGCATCACCCTAGAGGAAATTAATAACTGGCCAGGAGAGGAAGATTTTAAATAAAATTCCCCCACATTGTGCCCCATATCAAACCAGTTAAATTGAATAAATTTATTATGTAATAATAGACAATGTATGTAACAAATAAATAATATATCCATAAAACCTTTGGTCCCTATATTATGTACTGATTGATTATGTGAATATTTAACAAACCTACCGACTGCTACGATATTATTATTTCGATTATGACCAAAACTACACAATTTATTCATAAATATTAGGGGTAGACTATACAAACAGCGCGCAGATAATAATCACTTTAAGGAATTGAGCTTGGAGAACGGATATTATGTACAAATGACGACTGGCGAGTCAAACTTTGGCGGCTCGAAGGCCCTTTTTGCCGCCGAAGTTCCTGATCGACTCCAGAAGTTGGTCGCGAGGATCCGACGGACTTATTTGGTTTCGTTCCTGTGGCGCAGCCCTTCTGAGCACCACTCTGGGCATTTCCGGAGGTGGTGGGGGCAATGAGGTGCAGGACCCCACTGGCTTGGGATCTGGAATGTAGCGCTTGCTGGACTCGGTCCTTCTCAGAACCGACTGCGAAAATGGAACGAACTGGTTCGTGTTGAAGCCTTTATCCATCTGGGACCGTGCGGGGAGAGTCATGGAAGGGTTCCAGGATAGTCTATTGTTGATCTCGATGCTTCCTGACTTGAACCCGCGCACCACTGGAGCCCCCTGCACGTCCACAGGTCGAAAGCTCCCCGCTCGAAACACTCGCCGGTCTGGATCGTTCTCTCCATAGTGACTCTGCAACGACTTGAACTCCTCCTGGTCCTGGTTGAGGTGCGTAATGGAGGTGTTGCCAGTTTGCGCCTCCTGGAACGGCTTCTTTAGTTCCATAGAGCGCACCACTGGTACCCTGGACAAGTCCAGGGCAATGGAATGGGGCCTTTGGACAGGCCGCGTGCTTCCGTTTAAATTGGCCAACGGCCTGCGGTACCCCGCAGGCCCCAACAAGGAGCTTTTATTGGCCCCGATCCGAATCACCACGTTGCCAGACTTTTGAGTGATCTCCGCTCCTCCGTGCTCCTCTTGGGGTTTCGATGCGTTGCCCAGCTTGTAGTCCTCATCTGCCTTCACTGCGACTGGGACTTTGGGGCGTTCCGACCAAGTGGACATATTTACAGCTGGAGGGCCGCGGTAAAACTTCCTCACCGGCTTTGGAGAAGCGTGGGTGTCGTCATGAGGCTCCTCTCTAGGCAATTGCTCTTGGGAGCCCGGCGGCGTGTTCAGCTTGTTCTGGATTAGCTTCATTACCTGCAAGTTTCACCATCATTAAAACCCATTTTGTCCACTAGTTCATTCGACCTGATCAATCAACAACGTCACACGACCAGGCGGTGAATATGAGCTCACTTTCCCTATTCCATATAGATACTAGCTGACCCGGCAAACGTTGTATTGCCATATAAATTATCCATAGGGTTTTTTTTTCATCTCGAGTGGGCAAACCTCCCACTCAAGAGCTTCAGTAGGTCGTGTGTTGAAAGTTTTTTTAGACTTAGCCAGTTAAGGCTTTTAGTCTTTAGTGCTGACCTATGAGTAAGCCTGGGTGAGGTAGGGGATTATTTG